GGATTAGTGATATTTGATTATTTATTGATTATTTATTATTATACATATGTGCATATACAAATATACATATTGAAATATTTAAGAAAAATATAATAATATTATTATTATTATTTATTGATTATTAATATTATTATTTATTGATTATTATTATTATTATTATTATTTATTGATTATTATTATTATTATTATAATTTTAATAATAATAATAATAATTATTATTATTATTATTATTATTATTATTATTATTATCGTCGTTGTAATAAGAGCTTAAAAGAATGAAATTTGGCTTTATATCATTAGCAATATCATTACACATGAGCTGAACTGAACTTAACTGATCTGAATTGAGCTGAACTGAACTAAACTGAACTGAGTTGAACTGAGCTGAACTGAACTGAACTAAATTTCAACGTATGAGAACATGCCCTAAGAGTTATCTCAAGATTTTTAAAAGATATGGAAAAAATTTCAATTCAATGTAGGAATTTGCAATTCCCTCCTTAACACTTTTTACTGTCAACCAAATAGCTCATCCATTTTCAAATTTCCATGATATTCCACTTCCCCCATTTTCTTTGTGTAACCAAACAACCCTTTATTATTAGAAGGGTTATATATATATATATATATATATATATATATATATATATATATATATATATATATATATATATATATATATATAACCTCCGTTAAATTTTATTTGCAATTTTTAGGGTATTATTTGTGAGATATAAAATATTCCAAAATTACGCGTAATATTTAACGGAGATAACATTATTTTATTTTATTTATTTATGAGCTTGTAGAAAATAATCCATACAAATGTTCAAAGCCATCCTAACTTCCCATCCGGCAACAAAGATGAGTTGCTTGCATTATATTTGTAACTTTATTTACTATGTATTAAAAAAAGGCATTGTCCTTAAGTCTATTGATCTATATCTTGATGACATAAAATACTCATCAAGGGAGTGAGAATGGGATGACTTAAGACTTCACTAATTCAATTTATACAAGTAGATAAAACATAAAACATACCCCGTACCAAGCTAAGTTTGGTCTAGTGATAAGATTGTCATTTTTCAACCTTGAGGTTGGGGGTTTAATTTTCACTAGAGACACTTTGAGGGTGGAATCTCTTATCATTCTCCCTTACTCTCAAAACGTTAGACTAGTAAATAACAGACCAAAAAAACCACGAGAGTTGAGGTACGATATATTGCAAATTAACAACCAATCGAAAGTAAGATGAAGAGAAAGTTGATTAAGATTAGGAAAACCATAGTTATTGTTTAAGGAGATTAAAGAATATGGACCAGCCTAAAACCAAACCGACCATTTGTCATGTTAATTATTACTTTCTTTTTATTTGTCTTTAATTAGGAAAGTAAAGAATTGGGATGAATGTACTTTTTAGTCCAACGTTGACTTTAATACCAAAATAATCCATCAAATTATCCGCTATAAGGATTTTAATTAAGAAAAAAAAAGGCAATTACAGTAAAGTTTATTAACACAATTGTCTCTTGAAAAAAATTCTTATATACATGAATGTACCCGGTTGTAAAATATAAAATATAATTAAAAAAAAAAGATAAAAATTGCATATAAGAAGTTAAAAATAAAAAGAAAAGACAATAAATAAACATTTATTACACCGATTTAGTTGTAAATTGTCGGTAAATTCCCAACTTATAAAAAAGAAAGTATATTAAATGTTTATATGTAGGCCTAAGGGTTGCATATATTAGTGTACTAGGTGAAACCCGTGCACGTGCGATGCACGGTTTGTTTGAATTTTTTAAAATAATATTTTTTTTGTATATATTTAGATAAAATTCCTGATATCAAAAGATGATATTTTATATTTAATTAATTTAAACTGGGAAAATTCATTCGCCAATTTTGCTTACGTGTCATTTAATTTTTTTGATAATAAAAGAAATTAATTATCTCGTATTTAATTGGCTACCACTAAAATTTATTATCTTTATATATATATATATATAGGGGGAGGCTTTCGTGAGAAATTTTCTTATGTGATAATTTTTCTTATGTGAGAACACTCTTTATGTTCTAAATTTTTACTCGTATGTTCTAAATTTTAAATCTGATGTTCTAAACTTTTCCTTAGGTGTTCTAAATTAAATCAAATGTTCAAATTTAGTACTCACATGTTCTAAACCATATATTAGTTAAGTTTAATATCATAAATTTTAAATAACTTGTTCCAAAATTTTAACTTATATGTTCTAAATTTTAAAATGTATGTTATAAGATTTTTAATTATATTGTTCCAAATTTTAAAGTGTATGTTCTATTTTTTTATTCGTATGTTTTAAATTTTTTACTCATACTTTCTATATTCTATATCAGTTTGTTCTAAATTTTTATTCACATGTTCATAATCTTAAACAGATGTTCTAAATTTTACTCATATGTTTAAAATTTCATAAAGTAGATTCTATAAATTTTTAATCACTTGTTCTAATTCTTAAATCAAATGTTCTAAACATATTACTCAGATGTTCTAAAATTTAATTTCAGACACATGTTCTAAATTTTTACTCGTATGTTCTAAATTTTTACTCACATGTTCTAAATTTAAAATCAGTACTCATATAACTTATAAGTATGAATTCTCACATATGAATCTATTCTCACCGGATCCCTCCCCTATATATATATATATATATATATATATATATTAGATTACCCATACTTAAAAATACTGTTTTTTTTTCTAACATTTAAAGGATAATTATTATTTGTTTAATCATCAAATAGGAAAAAATAAACTTAATATAAATAATTAAATATGAATTTGGCAATTTATTTAAAAAAAATTACGAATATATTGCTTAAACAAAATTGTTACTGTAATTAATTAGTTTGAAAAAAATTGTTGAAAAAGAATTGGATGATAAGTTTAAGGGGGCGGGAAACAGCACAGCCGTACCTTATCAATTCTCAAATCTCGAAAACTCTAACGTATTAGTGATGATTTAACACGTGTCAAATATTGATTGGTTGAGGCCCCACCTACACCGACCTTCCCGATTCCGGGTTATATCGTGTAGTAAAATATCTTATTCAGGCCGACATATTAATTGGGTCCCACCAAAATCATACCATCAGACGGAGAACACGTTGCAAAGTTCCTATTGGTTGCCTTACGCCATGCTTTGACACCGTGTAAGAAGGTCTCCTCCAGTTGTAAAAAAAAAAAAAAAAAAAAAAAAAAAAAAAAAAAGTAAGAAGGTCTCCTTTACCACTTAGACCACTCTCAATGGTGAGCAAAAAAAATGTCCACCCACTATCTCTCTACCCACTTTCTCTCTCAACAAATCTGTTTTGCCCATGGGCAAAATTTTTTCACAATTTTCTGTCCCAATGGTGAGCAAAAAAAATGCTTGCCCACTACTCTCTCTCTCTTACTTTTTCAATACCCCACCATTACTTTCTCTCTCCTACACAACACTTCTTTATTTATTAATTTCATTTATATTTTAACAATATTACTCCAAATAAATAAAAACTAGTCTAAATTTGTGTAACTTATTTTTTTTTATTTGTGTCGTTTTTATCGTCAAAATAAAGAATATGGAGGATTTATGGTATTTCTGAAATTATACCAAAATATACCAAAATGCATGTCTATTTATGGAGAATTAAATTTTATGACCGTTGGTGATTTTAATTTTTTTTTTTAATAAATATTTATTTCAGAATTTGCATTACAAAAAATATAACCATTGCAAATTGTGGGGCCCACCAGAGCACTATTCATCCTTTATTTTGCTCATCTCATGGGCAAAATAACAAATGCTCATGGGCATTTTCACTTTTGCTCATCATTGCAAGACTACTTCTACCAAAATGCCCACAAAAATACCCATGATCATTTTATTTTGCCCACCATTGTAAGTGCTCTTAGCAGCGCCTGACTTTACATTATTTATTACTACATCCGTTAACTATTATTTGCAACAAAGGAGTATTATATGTGAGATATAAAATATTCATTTGTTGTAAATAATAGTTAACGGAGGTAGTATTATTATTTTTTTTAATTTAAAAACACTGTAAAATACTGAGGAAGAAAAAAAAACACAACTCGAAAATGTAAATTAGGACGAAGTAGATAAAGTAAAATTAGCTTTGGGAATGAAAAATCTTGATCTTGAGAATTAGTGTCTCCACCCCTCCCCAAATTTGAGTTATTTTTAACGCAATAACAAAAGAGTATTTGGATTATATTGAAATGATCTTGTTAACGAACGTTTTCGGGATGTTTAATAAGCATTTAAAATATTTCTCAAAGTGGTAATGCATGCTAAAATTACGTATCAATCGATGTAATTAATGCTCATTTAACGTAATTTTTTAACTTTTAGTCATCTTATCCAACGTCATAGGACGTTTGTTAACTTTTGCCTTATTAAAATAATTAGGTCTTGTTCTCATCAGATTATTTTCAGTTCAATTCAGCTTTAATAAGTTGAGTTGAGTTCAGTTCAGTTCAGGTCTTTCCTTCTCTCATAAAATATTTAGTTCAGTGTAGTTCAATTCAGTTTTGTTCAGCTCTAATAAGTTCAGTTCAGTGAATGAGAACATGTCCGGCCTTAATAAGAAATGGAAATAATACTTGATTAAAAAAAATCTTGAAAGATTAAAGGGTTTCTACTTGTCTACTTGATCATTTGCAAGCGCATGAAAGTATGGGGACTACTATTTCATGACAGTGAAATATAACACGACAGTACGTAAACATTTTAAAACCCAAGATTAGTGCCGGATCAGCTCAACACGTCGGTTACAAGATTCAGATGTACTCTTTACTTTTTTGTACTACATTATTAATTAATTCTATTATTAATATAATAATTAATCATAAATTAAATAAATAAATAAACAAGCAAACAAACCATAAAGTAAAAAAGAAATAAACTTCGTTGTGTTGAAACCGCGTTGTACGCAAAAAATTAAACGTTATAAAAACCGGTAACACCCCCTTCACACTAAAAAGCAAACCCAAATAAACCACGAGAAGTATCACTTCATTTCTACACTAATACTATCCCTTCCTACTATTTATACCCCCTTCATTCTATCACTTCATATCATATTATTTTATAAACCAAAGTTTTTATATCATATAAACTATATATATATAAGCGTTACATATATTTATTTGGTGCGATCAATTAATCGAGCTAGCTAGCAAATATGGCTGATGAGAGGAATTATGAGGCACCCGTAGAGACCACTGACCGTGGCATGTTTGATTTCATGAAGAAGAAGGAAGGTGAAGGTCACAAGCCGTCCGAGGCCGATACCGTGGCTGTCACCTCCGGTATGGAGAAGGTGCACGTCTCCGAACCCGTTGAGGAGAAGAAACATGGTGGACTTGTTGAAAAGTTCCATCGCTCTGATAGCTCTAGCTCTAGCTCCGTAAGTCCTTTTTAACTATTTTTTTACGGTTTTGATATATACAATCCTTAATAGGTCACGTTAAATTTTTACCTTATTGTACAAATTCTATTTATTGGTTAGCTTTTTGTACATGATGGTTGCTATTTTTTTTTAAGGATTTTAAACTTTTGATATGTGCACCATAATTAAATTATCTTTAAAATTTAAAAATTAAGGGTGTGTTATTTTTATCTTTAAAAAGACCAGTTTTAAAATCATCATGTCTGATTAGGTTCAACAGATTATAATAAGATCAGTTCCTAGTTAAGAAAACATACAAATGATGCTTGTATAATTGTATTATTAGATTAGAACTTTACGACAATTTCATTCAATGAGTGGATCAGTGTTATTAATGTTTTCAGCTTTAGTCTAATAATAAAATTTGATTTGCTTAATTTGCAGTCCGATGAAGAAGGAGATGATGAAGAGAAGAAGAAGAGAAAGAAGGAAAAGAAAGAGAAGAAACAAAGTTTGAAGGAGAAGATGCAGGAAAAGCTAGGAGGACACAAAGAAGAACATGATCACGAAACACACGTGCCAATTGAGAAGGTCCACGTGCAAGATCATGTATACTCTGAGCCATCTTACCCTGCACCTGAACATCACCACCAAGAGGAGGAAAAGAAGGGTGGTTTCCTTGACAAAATCAAGGATAAGCTACCCGGTCAACATAAGGATAAGGCCGAGGAGCACGAGGTCGTTGCTCCGGTCGCAGCGGCCGAGCCGAGTGTCGAGGGTGATAAGGATAAGAAGGGGTTCTTGGACAAGATCAAGGACAAAATCCCTGGCTTCCACTCCAAGAATGGTGCTGAGGAGAAGAAGGATCATGAGGAGAAAAAGGAGGGTTACTAAAGTAATTATGATTATAACTATGCTTAATTTTTAATAAAATTAGGTACTTAGTTTTTGTTTTGATGTTTAAACAAAAAAAAAAGATAAAAAGAAAAAGATAAAAAGTGGATGGTTTGTTGGTATTTTTTTAAGAATGTTTTGTAATGTTGTGAGTATTGTGGGTTTTGAGGTTAAGCGTTTTTCATTTTGATGTATGTGTAAGTACAATTATGTGCTTATGTATATATGGAAGTATCTGTTTGTTTTGGTTTACATGTGTTGTAAAGAAATCCATGATGCAATATTTACCATACATGAATGTTAATGATGTCAATTGTCAAAGGTCCATATAAATGTTTTTAGCATTTGTTGTTTAGTCACCTCTTAAATACTAATTTATGATGGAAAATGATTGTACATATTCCTTTTTGAAAAGAATATTGAAACTTTCAAACAATGTTAAGAAGAAGAAGTTTATCCCTATCACACTTTTCATATTATGTGTTATATCTTACTATTCATATTATGCATGAAGTTACGAGAATTACATTGAGATAAAATTTTAATTTCAAAGCTTAAATTGATTTAGAAGATTGAATTTATTTTTCCTACTTTTAACATTGTTAGCCCTTGTTGATTGATTTGATTGGGCCCATCATTATGCACCCAACTCAATTGTCTAGGCTCAAAGAAGTCTCTTGAAGAAATGTTTCTTTGAACTCATTATATTTTATATCGCTTTCATTTCTAAGTCATAATATGCGCTTCATGATTACGACTCATGGTATTCTCACGTATCAGCCAAATATATTGAGCCAGATTTCATATTGCTATAATGTTTTCGTTAATACTACCGACATCTCCTTTTATGAGTTTAAACGTTAATACTACGGGCTTGTTCTCATTGATTGAACCAAACTGAAATGAACTGAAATGAATATTTTATAAGAGAAGGAAATTAGGAACTGGACTAAACTGAACTGAATATTTTATAAGAGAAGGAAATTAGGAACTGAACTGAACTGAAAATAAACATATGAGAACAGGTTCATACCTCTGTTACATATTATTTGCAACGGTTAGACATTTTTCCTAACTACTTTATGTCAAATCGTTACAAATAATATGAAACGGAGGTAGTATTTATGCAATAATTGGATCAGATTGGTAAATAATAAAATACTCATAGCGACAATTTGATGAAAAAAATAAATCTGGCGACAATATGGTAAAAAAGCTAATTTCATGCGGTATTTTGATAAAAAAATTAATCTCAAGCGACATTTAGGCCAAAATGTCAAATTTATCCAACAAAGTCTTCAAATTTCATTAATTGAATTTGTTATTGTGTTTTTAAAATTAAAATTAATATGTCGTTTTCTTTTATTTTGCTTGTAAATCCCAATGTTAAATTTATTTTCAACACATTTTTTTACAAGAATTCTTAACAAGGGTTAGGAAATTTAAGTGAAAAATAATATTTACGCAACAAATTTTCTTCAAATTGTTAATTCTAAAAAACGGCTTTGGGAAATTAGGTAAGAAACCACGAAAAACGAACTAAATTAAGCATTTGAGGGTAGTTTGTCGGAAACTTTTGTATATTTTAGGTTTATTGTCGCCTGACATGATTTTTTTTTTTTTTTTTTTTTTTATCAAATTGTCACTTGAGGCTTGCTTTTTTTACTAAATTGTCGTCGGAGTTATTTTTTTTACCAAATTGTCGCCAAGGGTCTTTTTTATTTACTAATCTGGTCAATTATTGTTTTGTACGACTTAACTTCAAATCATCCAATTCAAATTAGATTTGGACATTAATATGTCTTTAGTATCAGATAAGTTACTCATCTTGTCTTTTGAAATGATCTTTCTTATCCTTGTGAAGTATACAAATTCAATTTATTGCATAATATGATCGTCCTATTATATCCCTCTCAACGTAAGTGTTTGGGTTCAATTTACTTTAATTGGGCTGGTCCACAAATGATTCAATTACAAAGCCCAAAGTAAGGTTCAACTCTCCTAAGGCAGTCTAAGTCAGTCAAAGGCCTAGTTAACATGGTAAAACTCATTTGACCTCAAGGCCTACTTATTAATCAAGCAAGGTTAAAGTTCTTTACTCTCATCTCTCTACATTCATTCACATTAAGCCAAAAGCAATTAATAATCTTGCAAAGTTTTCTCTCTCTAGAAACACTGTACTAACTTCGGCATAGGAGGGCCTTTCCTCGACACAACCCTCGAGGTCAGTTTATATTTGTTTGCCGTGTAGTCATTACTTGGTCCGAGTCCAGTCTTTTTCACCCCACAGAAAAGGTCTATCCAAAAGACCCATTGTTTATGCCCGAACAGCATAACAAATCCTCTTACAATACATTAGGAAATCGATGGATTATACAGAGTAATCACCATAAATTGTTAATTACAAAAAAAAAGGCAACTACTTGTCACTCTTTCCTATCAATTAAATGTCGTTTTAGAAAATTAATTATAAGTAACCACGTATTATCTATTACATGACCAATCTTGTTTTATCCATTTTGTGGAGAATTCATGTTATGATATACACATGGTGACTTTAATTTGGATCAATATCAATATAACAAAGACAATTATTCAATGATGATTACTTACTAACTCCCTTGTTATTTAGACTTTAGGATAAGTTCCACCTAAGATTTATGACTTGTGTAATTGCTTCTTGGCATTTTGTATGAAGTCATCATCTAGTTTGGATAGTAATTATTCTGAATAGAGCCAACTAAAATTACCCGATTCAAAATTTTAATACAAATCATTTGAAGATCTAGAATTTGAAGAAATATTACCTCCGTTTCTTATTATGTGCAACAAAGAAATATTTTATGTCTCACAAATGATACCCCTTTGTTGCACATAATAAGAAACGGAGACTACCTCCGGTTTTTATTACTTGCAATAAAGGAATATTTTTTATCTAACAAACAATATCCCTTTGATGCGAGTAATAAAAATCGGAGGTAGTATAATAAATTAAAGTAACTTGAAATGATAAAGCCAGATTTGTACATTTTTTTTTGAAAGAATTTGTTTGTTGGCTTGTTTGGTTTATCTGCTTGAAAATGACATTTTTGAATAGATTTTTTTGCATTACTTAATTCCAAAAAAAAAAAAAAAGGTTTTGCATTCCCAAATTACAAACCAAATAGTTACTTTTTGTAATTAATTTGATCATAATATACAAGCTCACCTTAACCAAGCATGCTTATTGAATATGGTGAAAAACTCAAGAAAAGACATTGAGGTTTGTATTTTCAAGCCCTACCAATCCACCATACATGTTTGGATTTAGGTGATTCTCTTAATCTCTTACCTTCCGTTATTACTCTCAAGTATTTACCTATATAGCTGAATTGACTAATTTGTGAGAGGGTACTTTTTAATAAGATCTTTCTTACCAATAAATACGAGTAAACAATCTAGCCTAATTATCCTTCCCCATTAAACAAAAACAATCAATAGTTAAAAAACTTGAGGTTCACCCTCCACCAAGTCTAAGACTGCACAAGTAACTAGTTCCACATTGAGACAATTTCAAAAATCGACAAGCATATCTTCCCACAATTTTTCAAGGCATTATAGAATATAGTTTCCAGAAATAGCACAATTTCCATCTGAGATGATTTTTGGCGCAAAGCTCTACAATCCTACCTGAGTTTCTTTTCGCTGTCTGCTGGTGTCGGGCCACCATGATATTGTATTGACAATTAAAGAACATAATAGCATGAATAAAGACAATTACGAAATTTACATCAGCACAAAGGAAACACTCTAAAATACCTATCCATGTATGCCCCATATACTACGAGTATCAAATTCATCACTAACAGTATAAGCTACGGAGTACATGACTCAAAGATCAAGATGGTTAGTACATCCGCTGCTATCGAACTAGATGACTGGGGTCAAACGCCAGCTTACTATAGCAGCACTCAGACCCCCTGCCCCCCACCCCCCCAAAAAGAAAAAAAAAAACGACATTATTTGGGATGAGAATTGTAATCTCAAGCTACTATCTAATGTCAGAAAAGATGCATTTAACTGCTACAAGTAAAAAATGCATTTACAGTTTTATGTGTGGTTTAGACTTTACAGAATCCGGTAATATAGTATGGGATTATGTTTCATTATTTGTAAAAGGGTCAACTTCTGGCCCTATAGAAGACTTGGAGAAGAACCAATCTTGACCAAAAGATGCAGGGCAATGCCAAGAATTTTGCCAATAGTTGGAAATTCTTGAGTACTTCTATGATCCAAAAAGTAAATCGAAGATAAAAATAGGTATCCTACTCATGTTTACCGTCATGAAACTGAGCATTTTTTGATGATTTGAAGGTCTCCAGGAATTCCTTAGCCTTCTTAAACTCATCATTCTTTCTCGATTTATCCCAATTATGTTCTGCTGCTAGTATTTCAATGACGCGGGGCAGAGCTTGACTAGCTGCATCAGTATCCAGAAAAGCAAGCCGACATCTCCGAGCTATAAAATCAGTCGCAGCCTCACAATACTCGTATCGAGCACAGTAAGCTACTTCTGCTTCAAGAAAAGGGTATCCGTGGGCAAGGCGCTTGCCCAAACCTTCATTCTGATGATAAAAGAAAAGAAATAAGTACCTCACATCGAAACTAACCAATAAATCTAGCTACATTTCTGGATACAAGTTGACAACTGGAAAACTTTGAGGAGACATATAACCAGATAGTACCGATCACGTGTGTTTTTGTAATGAATTCCCAAATAATTATACCAATTTATGAAATCCATTTGATGCTTAGATTCAGGGCAAAAATAAGAAAGAAGAAATCAAGTGAATGACAAAATATAGGGTGATCAAAGCTTTAACCTGAGCTATGGAAGCCACCCGCTCAGCCAATGTACCATATGCTTGCGATAAATGCTTTGCTACAGCAGTGTCCATGACACCAGGAACGACTCTTCCATCAGACGTCTTCTTCATTCGGACATACTGTTGAGCAATAACAGTAAAATTGGAAGGATCCCAACCATGGCCGCCAGTAAGTATCAAGTTGTGAGTCATGCATTCATTGGCTTTAAGATTTCCGGCCTTAATTGCAGCATCAACAGCATCTTCAGCCATGCTAAAACAACCATAACAACAAATTTAAAAAGAGCTAGAGGGTACAAAGCAGCTTATGCTTAAAACCAGACAAGGGTGAGGCCATGTAGAGCCCAATCATACGTGAAGAAGAGAATAATACATTTTATGAAAAAAAAAAAAAATTTAATAAATTCAAATTGATGGATTTAGAAGTATTCTTTCTATAATAATATAAGTAATCCTATCAAAACACGAGTGAGTTATAATAAAGGATAAATTTGATTATTTTTTTAAAATAACATGTTTCATTAACAGAATTGATATGTTTCAAGCCAATTTTGACAAACAACTGACACAAGGAAAAATAAAAAAAGGAAACGAGTCACAGTTACATAAAGGACCAAGCAGGAGGAAGTGATTTTTATCACAGTGTCGTAATGGAGTTTCATAGAGCAGCAAATTCAAATCCGTTCAGAACAGTGACGGTAAGTCGATTTTTTGATTCCATGGCTACAATACTCTTCATTTCACTTATAGTTGAATTCTTGCATAAGTATGGGAACTCGTTTTCAATTCATTTAAAGCCAAAAACATGTAAAGCTTTGATGATGAATTAAGTAATAGAGTTTGATACCAAGGCATATAACATATTTCAGTTTTGTATACAGAGAACATTTGGCAAAGAGACTTAGCAAGCCACATCTTTACCCAAGCATATAACAAAATCTAAATCTATCCATAAGTCCAAGAAAAGGTTACTCCCTCTGTATGACACGGTTTTACTTTTTTATAACTAATCATATTGTTGGTGTGACTCATAACCGATATCTCTATGCACAAAGAAGTACAGGCAGACTCAAACACAGAAAATGAGGCAGTGGTGAAATAGCGAGAGCCTAGAGGAGAACAGGGTTGCGCGCAAGGGTTAAGTGTTGCACGTAGAGTTGCATGCGACTTCAAGGTCTGCGCATTCTCACATGCCCCAATTGATGGTTTTACATCTCCATGGCATTGTTTGTTTAATGTTTCCTAATATTAGGTTTCACCTTTCTATGGCTACTAGGATTATACTTGGGAAGTAATTCAGAGTTACCTTATGTTAAAAAAGGAGCCATTGGGTGATCTAAGCCTTTAAGCCAATAAAGACTCCTTGTATATTCATATTGTTCTCTCCATTACAGTGAAGAAAAGCTCTCAAATCCCCCACCTTGGTGTAGGTCTAGTTGATCAAACCACGTAAATCCTTGTGTGTTATGACTATCTTCTTTACTGCTTTCTCACTTTGATTATATCATTGATTATTGCTCTACACAAATCGAATACAATGCCGCCTATTTCATAACACATATACTTTTGAGCAATGTATGAAAAACCGTTAATATCATGTAAATATCTTTAAAAAATTCTAACTAATAATAATTTCATAAATGCTTAAATATACATTAATGGTCAAACTTAGGGCATGTGTGCCAAGGCAGGAAAAAAAAATATTTTGTAAAGAAATGTTCCCTTAGATTTCTCCACTTCCACTCAACAACACCTCTTAGTAATGAATGATTATGAAAAATTAAGACGTTTTTGAGAAGGAAAAGCATGTTTATGGACAGTATTGTCGTGGGACTTTCTTTAAATATTACATTAAAAAAACATGGTCTGAGGCAAACCAAAAGGTGGCCTAAAGATGTTAAAAGCTGTATCGCAACAATTATGTCATGTTGCTTCTTTTGTGCATCGCATAAAATATAAGTTTTACGGTGATAGGTTATATAAAAGCAGCATCTCGCTAAAAGCATCAGAACACAAATTCCACAGCAGAAGTCAGAGCTCACAAAGCATATGCTTTAACTCAAAATCACAAATATTGTCCATATCAAAGACTTGGAATAAAAATCCACAGCGATACGGATACTTAAGAGTCTTAGATACAAAATGAAAATTGAAGAGCAAAATTTTACCAACAAATAAAGTACCTTCTATATGTGGTCCATTTTCCACCGGTTATGGTAACCAAACCAGGGAAATCTTCACAAACAACATGATCACGAGATATGCTTTCTGTGTTCTTGGCTCTTGGATCAATAGCCAACGGGCGAATGCCACTCCATGCAGAAAGAACATCTGTTCGGCGTACCTATTCCAAACGAACAGAAAAACAGAATAACTAAAACTAATTTTTTTTTGCCATCACCAGCTGGTCCAACTCCAAGAATCTAGAAACTATGACTATCTTAAGAATGATATCAATTTCATGGGCAGGTAGTAGAAACTATAACTATAACATAAAAATGGAAAAAAAACTTCTATTTTAAGATATCAAACAGAATAACTACATATAAGAGTAAATAAGGTGAATCATCATGTGTTTAAACGCAGCTCAACTATCCTATCCACTAACAACAAAGTTTAAAGACTTCAACGATACAGAGGTGGGTAAGGATTAGAACTGGTTATTGGGTAGGGTAGCCCAATGATAATAGGGCAGGGCCAAACATAAAGAGTTTGTAATGGACATGGCCTTTAATGAACATGACCCTTATTGGGTAGGGTCATTATACGGCCAAACTATTTATGCAATTTAATAAATAAAGAAAAAAGATAATGTAAAAAATATTACATACATAGATAATTTCAAATTCATATATACTTAATAATGGCCTTGTCCAATTTAATAGTTTATTGGCCCGCTCATTATCAACCTTTTATTTACCCACGACCCGCATTGGCCCAACTTATTATTGGCCCTATGAAATTAGACCCTCAGTAACCCGCACCCGCCCCACCCAATAACCAATATTGATCCTTATGGAATATCCTTTCAAAAAAAAATGAAGAACAAACCGTAAGAAATCAATCTTACTTTCCATGACTTTGCTGCCAATTTGCATCATCTTAAACATAAGATCAAAATCAACCAAAAGAGTAGCATTCTAAAATTTACACTAACGGTGTGTTTGAATTGAAGGGAATGGAGGGAAAGGAAAGGAAGAGAAATGGAGAGATGGAGTATCTTTCATTTGGATAGCAAATGAGGAAGGGAGGGAATTGGAGGGGAGAGAAATGGAATGATTAAATTGTAGGAAATTGATCCCTCCAACTATGGAGAGATTTGAAAGGAAAACTCACCATTCTTCCCTCCCCTTCCTTTCCCTCCCCTCCTCTTCTCCTCCCCCCCCCCCCCCCTTCTTTTCCATCCCCTTTCTTTATCCAAACAAATTGTAACGCTTTGTTTGGATAGAAGGAGATGGAAGGAAAAAAAAGGAAGAGAAAGGGAGGGGACAAACTCTATTGTTTAGGTAAAGGATTGGGGCAAGGAAGAGAAAGGAGAGGGAGGGTCCATTTTCCCTCTCTCTTTAATAAGCATAATCCCTCTAAAATTGGTAGGATTTGGAGGGAAAAAGGAGCTCACCTTCCCCTCCCTTTTTTTTCCATTCTCTTCTCCTTTCTCTCCGTCCTTATTTGTTATCCAAACAAAGTGTAATGGCTAAAATATAACTATTTGTATAAGTTATGAAATGTTTGGCTAAACACATGGATAAAATGTATGGTACACCTTCATCCAACACAATTTAGATAATTAAGCATACTTGTTAGACATATGAGATATTTCCATATGGTTTTGAGGTAGAACCTCCTTAGTCGTATAAAGTGGACAGTTGTGACGGGCAGGCCCGTTTATCATGGTATCAGAGCCTAGGTTCTATTGGGCCGTTCTTAACTGGGTATTCGTTCCTTCTAGTGTGCTCTAATTCTAAGGACACTCACAAGTGAGGGGGAGTTTTGAAACCCATTGTAGCCCACTTGTGAGTGTCCCACATTGGAGAAAGAGGAGATGTGGTTCTACTTTATAAGGTAGAGGAGTAACTCCTACTATTGCCAATTGGTTTTAGTATGGAAGCTCTTAAGCCTTGTTTGTAGACCAAACTCTCCTCCTCCTTGTTCGGGTTGCCCGACCCATTTTATATTGTTTCGAAATTTAATATGGTATCAGAGCCAGACCCACAATATGAAACCTTAAATGGCTAAAGTTCATTGGCCAAGAGTAGGTTCATGTGAGGGGAAGTGAAGAAGCACTCTAACCCGAAAAATCAAAAGAGACAAAGTTAAAAGGGACCTTACATGTGAGGGGGAGTGTTGAAGAATAAACCTCTCAAGTGTCACCACATGTAAGTGTCCCACATTGGTTGAAAGAAGAGAGAGTTAAACACTTTATAAGGCTAAGGGGCTACTCCTCCTACTGTCATATGGTTTTGGGATGGAACCTCTTTTGATCTTATGAAATGAACTCTCTTTCTCTTGGTTTGTGGGTGCGGCCCAGACTCGCGTTTAACAATACTCCAATTGTACATGATAAATAGTCACACACTCACACTGTCCCAACTCCCAACCTTCCATGTTTAACAAAAAGGCACAATGCTACTAATGGTCCAATTGAAATTGTTAAGGGTCTGTCCTATTTGACTCATTTAGTATGAACTTATTTTATTGGAACTTATTTTGTTTAGAGTAATGGGAACTCAACAAAATGTTACAACTTTTATTTACATCAATAGATGTAAATCTTGTAATTGAATTTTTTTGATAATTGATCGGTTATAACAACAAAAATGCAGCTCTTTGTTACAATTATAAAATTTGGAATTTCAATTTAATTGATCTGAAAACCAATTTCTTAATTATTACATTCTAACAAATCTAATTACCAATTTGATAAAATACCAACTTGATAAAATTTGGAATGTTGTTTATATGTATAAAATATGATAAGATTGATAACTAAATTTTTAATAGATAAATGTACTCCCTCCATTTTTATGTTTGTCCCATTTGATTTTTGCACTGATTTAATGCAATGTTGTAATTAAAAATATCTCAAGCTACATATGATAAATATAATATATACATATATAAAAATTTACTACGTATATATTACAAATCGAGATGTATTTAACAAAATCCCACATGACTTTTTATTTGAATTAGAAAAAAAAAAGTTTAACTTATTAGATTCTATTTTCCATGAAGTCTCTCAAGATTCCAAATGAGACAAACGTTTGGAAACTAAGGTAGTACATAATATTATATAAACATGTTTTGTTAAGATTTATCTTAATTAAATTTTGTCTAAACTTATTTTGTTCGATAAATTAACATAACTTATTTTGTTTGAATTAATCTAACCTTACTTTATTTGAAATAACTCAAATTTATTGCAAGTTGTCTATGATATATCATAAACTCCACTGTTCTTATTCATACAAAATAGTCATATATATATTATTATGCATCATCATTGTTTTCTAATGTTTCCAATGAAATCTTTTAGTCAACATATAATTATTTTCCAATTTTGGATTTCAGTGGGGACTAAAGCAATGACTCAGGTTTGTTATTTTCTGCTAATTAAAAGGCTAATCAAGTGCACTTCAGACCAAAATATCATGCAAAAATAGCATACTATAGATTAATGTTTGTCCTATTTGAAATCTTGATAGATTCCATGAAAGATGAAATCTTAACAATTTAACATTTTTTTATACTTCCAAACATGGTCATGTGAGATCTTGGTATATTCATCTCGATATTTAGCCTTTAAATATGACTATTATATATTTTTTAGTATATAGCTTGAGACATTTAAATTACAATATTGCGTTGCAAACTGTACTAAAAGAAAAAAGAACAAAAACAAAAGGTACATAAAGTTGTACTATTGTACTAGGCCTAAAAAAGGAATGCTATCATATAGGTAAAGTTATCTACATCTAACCTAGTCCCGGTACCCCAAAACCTCACTTTAATAGAATCTTGTCAACGGTAATTGGGATAATCATTGGCACGGCATTGTGTTGCATCACCTAGGTGCGTGCTTCAGACATGCCTACAGTAATGGACAGGAGGACCCCAATTAGTATTTAAAAAAGCGTGCCTGAGGTAGTGAGGTGCAAGGAGTTAAGGGTCATGTGCCTTTAATAATCTAGCATCTAGGCAAAGCGGTTTCAATGAAGCGAAAGGCATACAACAGAGGTGCACCTAACGCGTAGGGAACTCCAAATCACCATGGCGCGCCTAGAGCTTTTTTATACATTTGACCCCAATCAATGTAACAACTCTATTTTCTTACAACACAATTCACTATTGGTGTGTTAACACTTCACGCTGAACATGCAGTGATATGAACGTGCAGTAATCACAAGGCTAAACCTATTAGACTAGCTCTAAAAACATGTGTAAAGATACAATGACGCTAACCTTGATGCAGAGGTAATCAGTGAGAGCATCCAATATGAATTGAATTTCATCCTCATGTGGTTCTGGCAGCATTGTGATGGCAGTATTAGAATCTGTAGTCCCTGCTAATGTCCTTCCCAGCCATGGAAGCATGAATACAACACGTCCATCCTTAGTTTTTGGAACAATTAACCCCATCCCTTCTGGAGAGTAGTAGTCAGGGAGAACAATATGTACTCCGCTGCTAGGAGATATCATTGGTGGCGCAGCCTTATCAGCCAGTTTCCGAACAAAGTCACAAAAAGGCCCAGCAGCATTTACCACAACTTTAGCATATGTATCAAACTCCTCACCTGATTAACTAGCATGTAAGAATAATACCAGAAACAGTTTATATGCATTATTAACAAATTAAATACATATATGCACTACAAAATGAGAATATATAGAACTATTCAGGTTTTTCCATACAAAGTGAAATTCCTTGGAGATGTCATAGCCTCACATGAAGTAAATGTGAATGTCGGAAGGATTAGCTATTGCAGTCTTTAGGGGGTTACATCTAAAGTTCCAAGGCCTAGAGCCCTAGAGTCATATGACTCATATCCTATTTAAATCACTGTCCTTCGTGGTTCCCTACAAACCAAAGATGTCACCCAAAAGGCCAAAACAATGTACCTTAACCCATCAAATCTACCACTTCCTCAATCCTATCCATGAATACAAACAGAACCTCCAACAATTTCCACTTTCTTGTTATTTTATTTTCAATAGCACCTCCCCAGTCCTTGCAGCCTGCTGGAAACCTTACAAGCAGCATACTCCTCTAACCCTTCTTCTACCATTGACAACAACCCTCAAACCTGATCTCCTTTACAAAATGTACATTCTAATGTGTGCAAAGGTGGCACACGCACATAACCTACACAAAAAACAAAAAAACAAAAAAGGGGGGGGGGACATTCTAATGTGCACAGACACAGAACCTATACAAAACAAAAACCAAAAAAAAAAAAAAAAAAAAAAAAAAAAAAGGAGGGGTTATGAAAGTGAAGACAAAAATCACAGGCAAGTGGAGAAAGAGCGAATCACAGCAGTGACCAGTAAAAAGTGTGCTGGGACCATAAAGAAACATTAATTAGTCTTATGCAATTTTTCAAGTAAGATTGTAAGGAGATAGAGATAATTTTTTGATAAGAAAGGACAATTGCATAGGGATTAGTAGCCGCAAATTGATAGAGTACAATCATTTACTAGTAAAAAGAGTTTGTACACTAAACATTAATAACTTTGTTGACTAAAACAATCCAACAAAAAAGTTACATCTCAAAGAATTACTTCTTTTCATGCCCACAGTACCAAATAAAATAGAGAGAAGGAAAAGGCATGAAAGATAAGCTGGTTTTACCAATCTGGACAGAATTCGATCAAAAGATGAAATTCTAAAATCATGAAGAGGATATTATACAACAGTTAAATTTAATCAAAACAGACTTCTGTGCAACTGTAGATAGTTTTGGAAACATGTGAATAGAATCTATCATACATACCAGAGAGATTGTCATGTATTCTTGCACCAATTATCCGCCCATCAGCTTCATCCTTAAGTAATGAAACAACTTCAGCATGATTTAGCACAGAGGCACCAGCTAATGCTGCTGTGCATGCCAAACCAACATTAAGTCGAGAGTCATTCATCTGCCCATCATAATACACTACAGTGCCCTTCAAACTTCTATCATTTCCCATTCTTGTAAGAGTGGGAAAGAGCTCAATAGACTGTTGTGCTGAGTAATATCTTGATAGATGTAGCAATCTTGCCCCTGCAACTAGATCATATAGTTTCAATCCCGCCCAGTAGTATACCACTTCAAACCATCCAAAGCATGGGGTCATGCATGGCAAAGAGTGGCACAGATGTGGAGCATTATCTATCAGCTGTTTGCGTTCCTTAAGTGCATGGAAGACAAGTTTCAGTTGCCCATAATCAACATTGAATACAGCTTTCTCAAGGTAGCGTACACCTAAGAATAGTTTGACACAAGTATGCAATAAGTATAACAATCACTGCTATGCAAAGAAGAAGAGAATATTTTAAACTTAGAAAAATGAACAATATGTACGCCGCCTTTTACCCTTTCTTCTATATTTCCCATCAAAAGAAAAAGTTCAAACTAAGGGCCCACCCAGAAATTCCTTGGTAGCAAGAATTAGATAATTTATTTCTTTGTTAAGAAAAGGTATACATTAACCAACCAAGAAAAATATTGCAGCAAAACAAGAAGCATTTCCTACAGAATAACCCAAAGACATAAAATTTGTTAAATCTACCAAATTACATCCTTAAAAGCCAGCTGCCTGCAGAAATCAGGTCAGTTCCTTAGCTAAGTTAATTATTTAGACAATTTATGCGATTATTAATGAACAAATGTAAGAATTAGAATAATTAGAAGGTTGGATTTAGTATTGATCAGATAAGTCAAGCTAACTACAAGTAACCCCACTTCAAGGGGTGGATTCCTCCCAGTACAATTCTATTACTAAAATCAGCAAGCCTTTCCATACATGCACCTTCACCTATTTATATTTTATAGCATCAGATTCTCCACTTTCTTGGCAATCAGAGCTCACAACTTCTATGAGTAACTTCATCACAAAAGACCTTCCTAGCACAAGGTACATACGATGCATATAAATATAGTCATCAACTAAAGACGCAATGTGGTGTCAACTTGCTTTTCTCTTCTCACACTTGCTTTAGAGCTGACTCAGAATTCTGTTAATTTGACAGCAGATTGTCATTTGGATAATGATTGTTCACCAAGGTGAATTATCTAACAGGTCCACCAATTCAACTTCTGATCCTTAAAAATGCTTTCTTTCATCAAAGGAGAGAAAAGAACTTCAGCAGGGGATGGCTCTAGTATTTGTATTTCTGATAAAATAATTCCCAGCCAAGTGATGGCACAACTCTCAAAAACATTTCACAATGTTTTGAAACCTTAAGAAAGGTTTATATTAACCAGAAATTTAATTGGATACATTAAACCCTTTGGCCTCCTTTATTATAAACAGCTAAGAATTTATTTTGATACCCGTATGATAAAATGGAGTGTGAACTGCAAGGTAGATAAGCTAGCCACAATCAAATGCCAGGAGATTTAATTTTCAGAAACACTTATCAATAAGCTAACCCTTCTAATTGCTGTCAGATGTGATGAATATATATATTTTTAAGACACTTCCTCTCCCTACAAAAACAAATTTTCCTTTCAGTCTTCAAACACCACCAAGATTAATTAAATCAGAAAAAATATTCCACCATAAGACATTCTATGAATACAAATCCAAATTTTCTTAACATAGCACGGACAATTCTGGACCTAAGAAGGTCGTGTAGAGCACATAAATCTCTTGCACAAATTCATGAACTAATTTTTTAATTAAGCCAAAGCTCAGGATCAGCCACTTCTCACTGAAGCAATCTTGTTCAGTTTCATTGGCTGCCACCAAACATAAAAACTTCATAGCACAGGTAAAGTATTGACTGATCCATATCAAGTTGATGCAATACTGAAAGAGCTATACACCGCAAGTGGCGTTTCTAAAAGCTGACAGGCTAGACTCATATAAAAAGGTTACACTTAAAAGCATTGTATATTTGTATAGAGGACTATAGAGCACAGACTTTGAAAATATTGATTTCACCAGCAATAAATATGCCACAAGCAAATGTCTCATTACCTTAGCAGCTTCAAGAGGCTAGCCAAGATTTCAACTAAATTACACATCATAATTCTTCATGGCGATTTGAGACACAAATTGTTTGTAAATACCAAAAGATGAGATTGTGAGAATAACCCAGAGAAATGACATCTTCAGGCTCTCGAGATCTGTGTATCTAATATAAACAAGCCTTGAGGATATTGTAACCAGGCAAGTTGAGGGATTCAAAATTCAGCGTTTTGCAGAGTCCAAAAATTGATCACTTTTTTTAATAACCTTGGGGTGGTTAAAAATATAAATAAAATTAAGTAGCACTCAAACAACATTTGCATAATTTTTTTTTAGTAGAAATAGAAGTAGGTCAGCTATTTCCTTAAACTAAAGTAGAATGTAATACCACTAAAGTTCAGTTGTTCACCAAGGAGCTACTCAAGGAGAGGATAGCAATACAAATATCAGTAAAAGTTTATTGATACCATATTTAACACAATTAAGGCAACTCAATGACAAAAGGAAAGGTATAAGGCTGTAAGCACTTGATCAGGTAATCCTGATGTTCATATAGTAGGCAAAGTAATTTAAGAAAAAGTAATAGACCAAGTTTACCCTAAAAAAATCAGTGTTAATGTCAGTTCATGCTTCCTAGGCAACCTCATATTCATGCATTCCAGCATATTCTAATCTATGTGGCAGAAATTGCAAGGCATGGTATTATATGGGCATGTTGTCCTCTTTCAAGGAGGTCTACTACAGGCTATATCATCTAGTTTCAACAGTATCTAATTGTGGGAACGTCAAGCAACTAGTTTTTAGCCAATTACTCCCTATACATAAATACATAATCAAACATTATAGCAATGCTGGGGAAGAGAGGGAGGGTGTATAACATCATCACACCTTCCAGCTTCAGAGGGGGAAGGGTGTTGGAGATAGCAGAGCAGCCTCAACCAGCCAAAACAATGCGCATATATAGATATTATGTATTTATCTCATTACTGCATCCTTAAAAAAAAGGCTGAAAGATCTTCTACTACAAGCTTTTACCCAAATAATAAATCATTATTCCCATTGATATATAGCAGTCAACAAATAATTAATCGCCTTTACTTCATATCTTGATAAATACCCTCTTCAACTTACCACTGACTAAAGGAAAGAGTATGAATATAGCCTAAGTATTTCGAGGGATCTTTCACTAAGCTCCTGTCATATATGAGCTCATGTCATACATGAGAAATTAGGACAACGCAACAACCATTTCTCCTTCGAGGGAATACAAAACGGAGAGCATTGAATTCTGATCATTTTCCTACCGCCTAATATACTACCACAATCATTCAAAGTACCACGAAAAGGGTCCATAACCATCCAAAGCACAACTACGAAAATGTACCACCATAACCATCCAAAGCTCAACTACGAAAATGTACCACCATAACCATATGAGAAACCACCGCGCCTATCAAAAACATCACATACCCATGTTTTCTACCTGGCCGTATCGAAATCAATTAAAACACCCCGAAAGTTACCACCTATTTCTCCCTGTAACGACAGGGTATTACATTTACAAACACCATTATAAATTGACCACCCGAAAGTGTCGATCACAACCGAAACAACACAACCAGTCAAACCATAATTCAACACACCAACAAAATTGACCAAATTAAAATTCCAATGCAAGTACAGAATACATAAAATCATAGATTACAAAACGCCCAACAAAATTGACCAAATCAAATCAAACACAATAAAATCAAAAAATAAATAAACAATTAAAAGCAAGCAAATAAAAATCAATTAAACAAACCTCCATGAATTAACTTAGTAGACCTAGAAGAAGTTCCAGAAGCGAAATCCTCCATCTCAACAACCCCAACACGAAGACCTCTAGTAGCAGCATCAAGCGCGACACCGCACCCGGTAGCACCACCGCCAATCACGAGCACATCCAACGGTTTTTCGGCGGTGGAACCGGACAACGCCGACATTTGAGCCCGTCGAGGTGGAACGACGGCGTTTGCGTCGGAAACTTTGGCCAGAATTTCGGGTCCCACCGTAGTTCCGCGGTCATTTCTGGAAGAAGAGACTGTAAATGTGATTGTTGCGGCGGAGGATGCGGCGGCGATGGCGGCGATACGGCGGAGACGGAACGCCGTTGAAGCCATTGATGATGGAAATGGAGGAGAGAGAAAGTGTGGTAGGAGAGAGAAAGTGATGGAGGAGAGAGAAAATTGATGTGAAATTTTAGACTTTTTTAAATGGGTTTTTGGGGGATTGATTTGACGATTATGCCCTTGTGATGATGAGAAATTGAGAGTAGGAATGAGGGTGTTTTGGTAATTGTGAAGGTGTAATAATACAGTCAGCACAAAGGAAGGGCGAGTATTATAGTTCAGGTATTAAATATTAAGGCGCAGGTCCACCAGTCATGCTTAAAAATTTGAATAGAAAAGAATTGAATGGGATTAGGCCACGTGTGTAGCTAGTTTCGTAACGCGCCCATCAATTTATTATCCAGGCCGCGGATCATGGATTCATTGAATAAAATAAAATTATTGTAATTAGAGGTGTCAAACCGACTCGCTTCGAAAAAAAATCATTTGTTTTGTATTATAAGGGTTACTTAACCCGTGTTAATGGGGTTACTCGATCAGTATTATAGGGTTACTTAGTCCGTGTTAATGGGGTTACTCGATCAGTATTATAGAGGTTACTTGATCAGTATAATAGGAGTTACTTATAAAGAATATAAAGTATGTACAAGAGAACATGATAGATTGATAGTATATTCAAGAACATGTTTTTTTTTTCATGGTTACTCAAGTTATTGAATTTAACATTTTTTTTTATGTACATACATTAAAGAACATTTTTTATGATATAAAGAACATATAGTTTAAACTCAAAGAACATAATGACCAAATTTAAAAAACATATTTAAATGTGTTCTTTATAAATGTCTATAATTTTCTTTTTTCGCCTATGTTCTTTAGAATATGTATAATGTTCTTTTTAGAAGTACCATGCGCATGGTGCACCCGGGTGTAGCCTCAAAACTTCATAAGTTTATAACTGATCTAATTTGACTCTAAAATTTGAGACTCGAATCAAATTCGATCTGTAATCAACTTAAACTCAATCGAATCCGAATCTGATCCGTTCTGAACTTAATCGAGCACTAACTTGACTCGACCTGAACTCAACCCGAAATCGATTTGACCCAACTTTAACTCAAACCAAGGAACTATATTTTCAAACTTTAACTCATCTGATATTAAAGTGACCTGAATTCTGCATGATTTCAATCCAACCATACATTTAAACAAACTATAATTTTAACCCCACAAATGATTTTAAACCAAACATAATTTAACAAAAAATTTCGAACTAATATCTAATACAAATTGAATAAATTACTCTGTTATATGACAAGCTAAAGTCGTATCACGCCTAATCAAAAGTAATTCCTAATACCACTCAACTAATAATAGATAGGGAAGAAGGGTTGAACCACAGGGAAATAAGTCAATTTATTCCTAATTAATCAATATAATCTAGATTATCAAGTAACCAATTTGTTGTTATAAAAGGGAACTAAACTTCTAAGAGTAAAAGTGGGAAGGCATAAAGATAGAAGGAAAATCAATGAATAAAATATGTAGGGCATAGGTTCACCAATAAATAATATTTCAGGGTAAAACATAACAATTTATCATCAATGCATTGATTAATCAGATCATAAAGGGTATCCGCCTATTGGTATTAAATCTCAGAGTTAATTTAAACAATTTCGCTACGTATTACAATCACAGAGTTAATTTATTGGTATTAAATCTCATCTCTCGAATCTCGACTTAACCATTGATAAATTAGTCCGCCTATTGAAACTAAGTCTAAACATCAATTCTCATCTCTCGAATCTCAGCTCGAATCAATATTGCATAACTCATACAATTAAACCAGGCCTAATCTAATTTCATAGCATTAAATCAATCAATAGGAAATTAATCAAGCATAATTGACAATCAACAATAACAAATTACCCTTCATATTATTTATGGATCCCCATAAACCCTATAAAGGAAACAACTCACACATAATTAAATCTAAACTAATCAAAGCAATTAAAGGAGACATGATGAATAAAAGAAATAAAAAAACTAAAATTAATATAGAAGAAATCGTTACCAAAGTTAACGGAAATAATGAGTTGAATCAAGAACAAAGTATACAATTATAGAGAGAGAAAATAAAGCTGAGTAGAAAGAGAAAGTCTAAGAGAAGAGGTACTAAAACTAATAATACTAAAACGTACTTCTACAAAACTCCTCAATAATCCTAATTAAAACTAAGTAAATCGCCGAACACATCCCCTCAGAAACATGGGCCCGATCGGGCGGTCCGTGTTTCTTCATCTCCTTGTTCTGGGTAGCCGCCCGATCGGGCCCGACTATTGGTTGGACTTGGTTTGGGCTTCACTTCTTAGCCAAATCCGAATTTCCACTTTGGGGCTTGATCACTCGGTGTCCAATGCTCGGTATTTTAAATGTTAAGCCCTTAATCACCGGCTCGATGACTCTAACTGGCCCTAGGCTATGAAAAGTGGTCGTGCTTCTCCAATACTCGTAGTCGCTCCATAAAATCCCGGGAAAATGCCCCAAAAGTGCAATTCCCTACAAAACTCAACCAAAACTACGAAAACACTAGAAAACACTAATTAGTAATAAAAGTGGCTCTAATTAAAGAGCCAAAAACACTACCAATTATGACCAAGGGATGAGGGTAAAATACAAAATAAAATAGACATATCAGTATACAATAGCAAACTAACAATACTTGTAGCCTCGTAAGCTAGATTACTATACAGTTGAAGATTAATAATAACCTTGAAAAGATTTTATTTTTTTTAATTTTTTTTTAATTTTTTAATTTTTTTGTTTATATCACCTGCTGTGGCTATCATCTATTAATAGTTCATCATTTACCATCTGGATCACTTATATGGTAGGTATAATAAGTCTTTGGTAATTCGATTTTAATTAGCTTAAGATAAACATGACACAATAACAGATCAATTAGAAAACTAATATTCCATAATCAATCAATCAATTAATAAACCTATATTAAAGGCTAATCTCAAACGACACGCAGTGCCATTATGTGGTAAAATAATTTCCGCAGAATTTTTCTTTCCAAAATTTCTTTTTATTATAATTGCTTCTAAATCTTACCATAACTTAAATCTACCAATAAATTTTTCTTTTTATATTACAGTACAACAAATCTAAAGTTGGAAAAAATTATTTAATAAATCAATTATTTTGTAAAATTTCTAATCAACAAATAAAGAAAATACATAAACTAATACGGAGAATCAATTTTTTTTTAAAAAAAATTCTTATAAATTAATGTTAGTACTATTACTATATATACTCTGTATTAAAAAATGTGAGACATAATTATGTGTTATGTGTCAATTAATTTCATGGATTAAAGTTTAATTATGGTGAATTAATAAGTTTAATAAAAATCTTAACACTAACCGTGCATGTACGGGATCTATACTAGTTATTAATAACGCGATATGAAAATTAAATTGACACATAAATGACTTAATAATATCGACCCAATAATAAGCTCCATTAATTTGATAAACAATACATCTAATAATAAGGTCCATTAATATCGAATTGTTGGATTCAGCCAAAAGTCAAGTTTTCGGCGTTTAATAAACTTTTATCTTTCCACACATTTTGGTCACAATGCAACTCAATAATCATGTAATAACTCAATAAATACTCTAGCTTAAAATTTACCTTATTTGAATATTGAATTTGGTCAACGACCTAATTGATATCAACCCAACAATAAGGTAATAACTAATAAATACTCAACTTTAAAATTGACCTTATATTGAATTTGGATTGGTCAACCAGGCCAAAATTCAGCCAAACACGAAAAGGATTTGCATTGGAATTGAACCAATACTAAATCGACCTTATTACCTTATTAATCAAATTGAACTTAACTGAACCGGAATCAAATCAACCTAAAGTTATCTGACCCGAAATTAACTTGGCCAAACCTGTTTTTAACTCAATCAAATATAAATTGATTTGAAGTTGACTTGACCCAAAATCGACCCTGACTTGATAGACCTTGACCCAACCCGAATCGAGGCGGGTCAAAAGGGTAACCTTGACCCAAATATACTCGACCTGAACAGACACGGCTCGTCGTGGATTAATCCAAACTCCATTCGGCTATCCGAATTGACACCTCTAATTGTAATACGGGGTAACTAATTATGACATGTTTGGATTGGGGGGTAAAAACTAAGAAAAACACGATTAAATGTATTGTTGTAGGTAATTACACTACTAGAAATGATCCATTTGCCCATGGCCAGAATCCATCGGTAAAATTGTAAAAAACCATCGGTATCTCGTTTATCGATGGTTGCCATCGGTAAAAAACCATCGGATGATAATATGTCGGTAAAATTGAAAATACCGATGGAAAAACCATCGGTAAACTTAATACCGATGGTTTTACCGTTGGCTCTAAAGTATCGGTGCCTTTTTAAATACCGATGGAAAAAGCCATCGGGTTTTTTTTCCGATGGTCGAAGCCATCGGTATATTTCGAATACCGATGGATTTTGGCCATCGGCAATTTTTAAAAAAAAATTAAAACCCCCTGCCTACCCCACCCAACACCACTCAACACCGCCGCTGTAAACCTCTTAGCACCGCCAATCACCACCACAACCCTATTCCACCTACCACCGCCGTCGTAAACCACTCAGCCCCACCAACCACCACCCAAAACACCCTAAAAATCAACAAAAAAAACAATCTACAAAAATCAACACAAAATAACCCACAAAAATCAAGCCGAAATAAACCACAAAAATTAACAAAAAAAATCAAACATTGATGAAAAATAAAGTTAAAAAAAATAAACACACAAAATTTAACAAACATACACCACGAAAATGGTAGAAAATTAAACCCACAAAAATCACACAAACAAACCCACAAAAATCAACCCATAAAAACTAAACATCAATCAATGAAATCCCAAAATAATCCCAAATTAAACAACGAAATCAAAATTAAACCACACACAAACGAAATTAATTCATAAAATTAAACAAAAAATCCACATACCTTTTAAATTTCTTCTTTTTGGGGTTTAAATGGTTAAACTCGACTATGAAAATTCCAGATCTGGAATTTTCTGGAATTTTCATGGTCGAGTTTGACCAAAAAAACCTTAAACTTTGCACAGACCTCGTGATGGCGATGGTGGTAACCTCAAAAAATTGTGAACGTTTGTGGTGGTGGTAGTGGTTTTGATGAGGGAGAAGAGGGGGAGAAAAAGAAATCAAAAGAGAGGAGAAACGTTGAGATGAAAGGAGAAGGGAGGAGGACCGTCAGAGAAG